AAAAAAGTGTCCTATTCCATTGATTTAGGGAGAGGAAAAATACCTTTTGGTCTGACTATCCTCAGTGTGAGAAATGTAATAGCCAGGATGAACAGAGTGTGAAATACACTGTGCATTGTTCTATTTAAAGTTTTGTTTTCCACTGTCACCAAAGACTTGAATGCCTTGGGTCATTATTCAAAGTATTATTTTTATTGGTTCTGTGTGGGGTACAGAAAAAAAACCAGTTGAAATGGACAGAATCAAAAAAGAGGAATGCACGAGAACTGTTATTTTTTATAAGAGAATCTGAGAATCGAAGGAAGCTTTTCCTGAGAACGACAACGAGAGAAAGAGGCACTAGTTTGAATCTTTTCAACGGAATAGATAACAGAGCTCCCTTGAAGTCTTTCTGGAAATATCTTTGCATTGAAAGGAAAAGTGAGGAGACTTGGTTTGCAGTCTGCGACTCCGACGTGTGACACACCCACCCGCCACCAAAACGAGGTCGAGAGAGATGAATTAAATTTGGCATGGCAATAAGCTCACACTCTCGGTCAACACCTTGAAACAATGAGTAGTCTTGCGGACTCCTCTTGCAACAAGTCTGAGAAATGATTTCACTAGTTTACACTTCACCCTATTCCAAGGTAACCAGATTCCTATGGATTGTCATAATCATAGAATGACAGAATCATAGAATGGCCTAAGCTGGAAGGGACCTTAGAGATCATTTTAATCCAGCCTCCCTGTTGCCAGGGACGCCACCTCTCAACTAGATCAGGCAACACAAGGGGACAAAAGGGGATCATAATCATAAAGTGAGCTCAGCACTAAAGTACTCTGCCACATTTTATTCTACTGTGGCTGTGCTTGGTGCTACAATTTGGGAGTGTATTTTTGGTTATACAAATGATTAGTGGCAGACAATGAGCACACAGTTGAGAACCAAAGAGTAGAAATTAGAAGAGTTAATGTGTCGAGCACTACTTAGGACTACCTTTAGTATATATTCTTGCTGAGATGTCTTCAACGAAATGACTTCTCTCCAGAAACATAACTCAGACTACAATCGACTGAAGCTCAAAATATCTCCACGCACTTATTCAGTCATCCCTAGTTGAAACCTCTGGGTTTCCCTTGGATTTACGTCACAAACAATGAGTTCCTGTCACTAGATATTTGGGATTCGACTTAAATGTCAGCTGAAGATGTGAGAAGTTGTCTGCTGCTGCAACTCCTCTAGGTTTATTAATTTCAAAACCTGTACACTGGCTCAAGGTTAGTCCTTGTTAGAGAGAAAATAGCAATCATACTTAACTAGCTCAACATACTCAGCATGTTGCTTTGAAATAACATTCCCTGGAATTCATAGACATTTCCCAAACCAACAGATCATTCAGAAATAGATTTCTGTAAGGAAATAATACTGTCAAAATAGAAATATAAAGGTGTATGTTGCTCATCGAGAACATGGATGCTTACCAAATTCCAGTGCAGTGCCAATCGCACACAAAAATTTGCTTGATGTGAAAAAACAATAGTTCAGGATATATCATTTTCTTTGTGATAAAAGAAAGAAAAAAATAATTGGAAAGATGCTAGCATTCCCTTACTTTCTAGTTTATGCGGGTTTTTTGTGTCTCCTGGGGTTTTTTTTAAATTATGGAAATGATGTGGAGAAAAGTGAGAGTAAAGTAACTTTGTAGACGGCAATAGAGATGAAAAAGTTTTTTAACACAAACACATCCCCAGTTAATGGAAAATTACTGCAGGCAGTACATTTGTTAGTATTTTGTCATTGCTAAGTTACATGAGACTTGCCCACCGATTTCATTTATTGAGGGGACTTTGGTCCTCCCTCATTGTAAGGATATAGAAGAGAACTTTCAACGTGCATTCAACTTACAAAGTCAAAATACATTATGTAAACTTTGTATTATCATTAACTTAGATGCTTAGTATAGAGTTTAGAAATACCAATCCGTCTTCAGTGCTCAGACCAGCATTATTTGAGGTGACATTAGTTACTCATGACTTGTAATCTTCAATATCATTTACCCCTTTCTAGACACTGCAAGATTTCATATCAAGTACAGCAGAAACTGATTCCAAACTGGTTAATGCAAATGAAAAGCACGTGCTATGATTGCCACGTAGTTTCTTACCACATTCATCTGATAATCACGACAAAGATCATCTTTTTATATGCCTTTTGAAGGTGAATTAGGAAAGTAACCATTCCTATATCTAAATCTTCAATATCATAGTTTGGACTCAAAGACACGAAGGAACTTGCTTTGAGAAGATGCTACTTTGCTGAAGTCTGACGTCTTTCATCCAAATGATCCTTATCCTGCTCAGAATTAATAAATCTATGAAAGGCAACTCCTATCTCTTTAATAATAATTTCCTTGCGATATACTCTTCATAACAAGAAGAAATTACATACAGCATAGCAGATGAAAGTGAAAGTCTGCAGATTAGATTTACAGTATATTATAATTCCCTTTCTGTGTGTCAGCATACTCTTTATTGAAGAGGTTTCCATCATTTCCATTGTGCTGATACAGTAGATTTTTTTTCCTGATAAACGGAAAACTTCTAGGGAACTATAGGCAATGTCACGTCTCTACTCCTGAAGGATACAAACCTCTACTTACTGTTTAAAACAACTCAGTTAAAAAAAAATAAATTACTCAACCACGTTAATTCATTTATCTCTTTTCATGTGGATCCCAACTGGAACTATAACAGTTACACATTACAGCATAATTGCAAGAGACTTGTGATTTCCCAAAGCAGTTATGCTAGGGTGTGGGTTGTTCTCTATGATTTCCAAAGGGCATGAAGAGAAGGATGGGTTACAGCTGGGAGAAAAGCAGAGGTACCTGATCAAGTTTCCAGTGGAACTCGGCGGGACGGAAGGTGTCAGCCTGATCGAAGTCTTTGCGCAGCAGGAACACTAATCGGCAGTTGTGGATGTACAGGGCGTAGTGATGTCGGTTCATCTCTGAAAGGAGGGGCCAATAAGGTCAGTGATCTGAACTGTCATCAGCACGTTTGTTTAGTGATTGTGTCTGAAAGCAATATACACCTAAAGGGAAAGAAAAGAAACCCCAAAGAACTGACTCTTCAATACCGTGCATCATGATGCTTCTCGGGGAAGCCACACATGGTAAGCATCTTCCCAAATTTTGCTGTATTAGTTTTGTTTATAGAAGTGTTATGTCCAAACTAATAAACAAAATCCAAATCAATATTCAATCTAACTGGTTTCAATGAAGAATTAGACCTGTTCTTCCCAATCTAAATTACAAAAGAATTAAACGTAATTTTAATTAGTTTGTCAACCAACTCCTATAAAATCTACGGATGTGTTCAAAGAGATTAGCCAAGAAGAGAACCACTGACTGAAACTCAGGCAGATGTCAGTCCCCTCAATAAGCTGCCATGTCAGCAATGCTTAGCATGGCACCATCTGAGCTTAGTAACTCATTTTTTCAGACTGAATTAAATGAACACTCTCCTGAGTTTGCCACAGCCATTGCCTAACAGTTTTTCAATACACAGACTCACCTGTCTTGTCAGAATTGCAGAGAATAGTCTCTTTCTCAGCTCTTAATCCTGGACTAGGTCCATGTTTCATCCACAGGCTGATGGTGAACTGATCAGTTAAATTCTTCGGGACTATTCCATCCGGGATTTTGGCTCCTTGCTTTCCATCAAATTTAAAAATCATGTCATTGTTATCCATGAGCAGCCCAGCTGTCCAGTTAGTTGTTGCACTGGGAGACGGCAGCAGGTCAATGGCACCTGAGGAAGCTCCTGCAAATGATATATAATGAATTACATGATCAGAGACTAATAAAAAAAGCTGTGAAGATTAATTTAATATAGGCCAGGGTTCTGGTTCACATGCTTCAGATTATTTTTACAACCCAAATGGTCCTTCCTTACAGAAGGAACAGAAATTGCTTGCACCATGGTGTATATATATCAAAGGAAATAGGTTCTTAAATGGGCACATGCTTATATTAGGTAAATTACGGGCTCAAAGAAGAAGCTTCATCCCTCACTCAATCAATCTACTCTGGCCATAAAAATCTGGAAAGTTCTACTTTTTCCACTAGAATGAATCTGTGGGAAAAATTCCAAAACGGAAGTCTCTCACATTGCTTGTCAAACTCTGATTCAGCAAGATGTTCAAGTAAACTACCTTATTTTCCCAACTTAGAGTCAGGCTTGGTTAAGAGTGTTTGGGTAATCAGTACCAACTTCATCAGGTTCTACTTTATCTGCTCAGATTTTTATGGAGATTTATTGGTTACTTTGAAAACTCATCCCGTTAGTGTGTGTTAATCCTGCCCTGGGAATAACTATTGGATTATGTGCTTAGTAGATTTAGCTGGAAGAAATCATACTGTTTCGATCCTAATAAATCCAACCAGCACCTCAGGCTGCTCAGAGAAGTACACATGGACACTGCCTAGGGAACTGGACCAGACTCTTGGCCTAGGAAGCGAACCACCCGAATGAAACCAAGCGCAAACTATTACTTTTCCATCAGAGCAACAACTTTCCATGAGCTTCCTGCAAAACTACACAACCCAGGGTAACGGAGAGAGAGCAGGATCGTCCCTCTTTGCTGGAACATGGCCTTCAATCACATACCCAGTGTTTCCATATTTCAGTTTCCTGTCTGCCATTAGTGCAAATTAGCAATCCCACTATTTGCTACTTTCTCTATGTTTAGAGGAAAAGAAGACAGCACCAAAGTCATGTTTCCCCCATATTCCAGGCTCCTCATCCAATTATTTTTTTTAAGTGAGATTTATTGTCTGTATGTTTTTGCAGTCCAAATTGTGTCTTTGTACATTCTTTATTTTTTTATTATTGTCGGATGACAAGGTGAAAAAATGCTTACTGAAATGCTTTGAGGCAAAACACTAATAACTCCTTGACTTCAAAATGACTCAAGCATAATTTAATCATTTAAACTGCCCACCTTGACTGTCAAAGTGAGTACAAATCACTGGGTTGTTGAAAAGCAGACTTAAACAATCAGTTATAGGAAAAGTGAATTTCAATGCACTGTCCTTAGCATCTGAATTCTCTAGATTTCCAACAGACGAATAAAGAAACAAGCACAGGATTTATAAACTGGGTCCTTAATTACAGAGAGACAATCTTGTATTTTATATGACACAGACGAATGTTTATCTGTGATCGCTCAGTTTTGTACTTTCTGCAGTTGCACAGTACTTCACTGGTAGAAAAAAATTCAGGGTTTTCTTCCTTTTTCAAATAATTTATTCATCCAACCATTAGATACAATAAGGTCATTTCTGGAAGAAAACTCATTTCCAGAAATAATTTAACCTGCTTTCATAAGAGTTCTCTCTACATTAAGGATGGTAATAAATATTAAATACCAAAGCCGGTTGAAATATAATTCTGATGTAAAGTTCATTGTCATTTACAACCTTTTTATCAAAGTCCTATTACAAGTTTCTACCCTACCTGTTCTTCTCTATGAAGATACGGAAACCTCGGACCAAAAGGAAGAGAATATTCATCCAGCAGTGAGAATTTTTCCCCCCATTTACATATACTTTTTACATTCTATCTATTTTCTCAAGTGCTTTATATTCTGTTCCTTCACAGATGAAAACTGGAAGTTCAACAGTAATGGCACCTGCTCACAGGCTGCCTGCGACTGCCACGGTGGCACTGGCAGACCTGCTGAAGTGGTTTTGATCCTTCTGCTTTGCACCAGCTTAGGGCTACACACGGCACAGACAACGAATTAAGAGTGGACTAGTGTTGGAAACAGCGAGTTTACTCGGAAGAAGAAGACTGGAAATTCTCTTTGCTACTGCCTAAGTGTCAGCAGGTGAGGTAGTGGAGCCACACGCTGCAAACTGAACTCCTTCAACTCTGCACAACATTCCTCAGCTAAGGAACTGTACACGAGCAGAAGGTGCCCACTTTCAGCCCTACAGTAAAAATGGTAATATTGTCACACAGAGCTGCCTTTAGTGTTTTATACCAATGTAATCATTTAGGAGGTCAGATCTTGTACGTAGTGATCTGCCCTGAACGACTGTGCCATTTGCAGTTCTGGTCTCTAACAGGCACAAAGCAACGTTCTTTTTGTTGCCGATACAACTTCTTAGAGGAGGTAAAAGTACTTGACTTCAGCTATAACATATTTATTTTTATTCAAATGCTAGTACAGGCCGTGCTCAACCTCAGCTCTGATGTCATTAACATGCTCAAGATGCACACTGTTGGCAGATGGGCTTTCTCTTGCTTTTCTAGGATCTCAGTCACTTGGGTTAAGGTACAGGACTAAAATGACTCGTTCCTTTAATCTTACCTAAGCCATTTTCTGTTTGAAAATACTCAGATGTTAGGAGAGTGCTACTACTCCCCCTCAGTTTCACCTCACTTTGCCAATCTGCACAGGTAATTTGTAATCGTGACTGCAAACTGTTGTGTTGTTTTTTTTTTTCCTGGGAATTAGCTCTCCATTGTTAATAATTTAGTAACACTGGTTGAAAATTTTCAATTATTTGTAATTGTGACTGCAAACTGTTGTGGTTTTTTTTTTTTCCTGGGAATTAGCTCTCCATTGTTAATAATTTAGTAACACTGGTTGAAAATTTTCAATTACAAAATTATTTCTTAAAGGTTAGCGTATTGATCTTAGTGTATGTTAGACACTGTTGTGTGGTTGTCAAAGAAAATGGGAGTCCTACGCCATGGCACCCCAAACCAAAATCCATGCATCTAAATGGGAAAAAAAAATTGCACATTTGCCACTGTAGCTCAGACAGGAGTCAGGTAACGTGATATTTTGGAGAAAATGAGAATCATTGTTCTACACCACGAGGGCATCAGATGAAGACTCTAAGAAGACAGTATTTTGAAGGATAAGCAGAGACAGCAGACCTCAAATGCTAAAATATAAATGACTTATAAATGACAAGGAAAGAGAAAAAAATTGTGAAGGGAAGGAGGGCAGGAGAGAAAAAAAATGAAGCAGGGTAAAGGTATGAAAAAAAGTGAAGACAAGTGACCGAGAATGGAGCACCAGTCAAATATCACCACTCTCTCAGTTTTCATTGCTACAATCCAAAATGAACCAGCTGAACTAAATCCACGTACTGCACGTTTACAGGCCACCAGGAACCAGTGCTTTATCTGGAAAAATAGTAGTAGTGGTATATCAACTGAAAGCCATATCCATACCACATAACTTCTGCAGGGATTTTTCTGAGTACGTCTCACGATCGCAGCCCTTTCCGATGTAATTGGTCTGTAATTCAATGGTGGTGTGAATGGAGGAAACCGGTCCATCACAAGTTTCTAAACGAATGCTGGGAAACAAAGGTAAGCTGCCAGAACCAGGCTTGTATTCAATCCGTTTGTTCCAGTCTGGAAAAATAAAAAACAACGGTAAAAAGATCCAAGAGTGATTAAAAAAGGGGAGGGAGTTGCACAATTTTAAATGCCATATTGTTCTCAAAGGTCATTAAGGCAAATATAAGAGGTTTTGAACTTGGCGTCAATAAGTTACTGTGCTAAAAACCGCCCATATTTTGCCCCTCTTTGTAAAAGTGTGTCAGGCTCAGTGAAGCAATACCGCTGCTGCTAGAGTCACACAAGCACGGGGTCCATGCACGCCCTGACGAGAAGTGCTAACTGGTGTCAGTCTGGATCTCCAGTGTCCGTGCCCCTGTGACGGGCTACACGCTGGCTCCATGGGGGGCTGCTGCACTGGATTTGGTCCGATTTCATAGTTTTGTGATACAGAACAAATACCTCCAGGGACCAGGCTATATGCATCCGCCTCACTGGAGCGTGACCAAAAGCTAATACAACACATCTGCAGTGCCACTTCTCGTCTTCGACTGTCTCACTAATTCCGTGAAGTATTAATGACAGAAAGTTACAGCTGAAAGGACAACTCATGCTTCCAGCCAGATCTCGGCAATCTGGGCCTTTGCTTACGCAGATGTCTCAGAGCCCACAACACTGAAGCAATCACCTGCCTCAGGCAGCCACCTGGACGTGCCACACGTATCACTTTGCTTCTCAACTGGAGCATTTAATTTTAAAATCCAATTAATTATCGTGTTTGTAACCTGCTTCAGAGAAAACCCAAATAAACAGCATTAATTAAAAACGTGTGCTTCAGTGTCTTTACAGTTCGCATTTTCAAAGAATCACAGAATTTTTTAGGTTAGAAGGGACTGTAAAGATCATCTAGTTCCAAGCCACATTAATGTCACATTAACACAGAGATGCAAAGAGCTGTTGTGAAGTCAAAACACTATTCAACTCTGCTGCCTAATATGTGCTTTGGTACATCTGCAAAATTTGCCAGAAGAAAATACTCACACATACACAGCTGAAGTTTCTCTGACCTTTTTAGTCCTACGTAAACGAGGATGCCATAAATGGAAAAATTCTAGGTCCTGGCAGTCAATGAAATCTCTTAATGAAAATGGACAGAAATAGTCTTTCTAAATACCGGTGGAAGGCAAAGTAATTATATATATATATATACACACACATATATTTTCATTTAGTAAGTGAAGTAATTTATTGTTTTTGAACAGACCTTATTTTTAGGAAGCTAGAAATAAGGTGTTATCTCCTACCATCTTAAACTGGATTAAAAATTTACAAGAAAATCTGAAAGTCCATGAAAACACTCTGAAATGTAAAGAAATCATTAGTCTCGGGTCCAGACAGATACGATGCTGACAGCCACCAGTTTGCATTTCAAAATTTTCATATTTTCTTCATGACTTTTAATCCAAATTGTAATCATGCAGTATTTCGTTCTGAAGAGGAAGCTGAGACTTCATGGAACATCCTGAAAGTACGTTTAGTGTCTATTTTTACTAAAATCCTTAGGACTTGTACACCACTGACTAAAAGACAACTATGACTACTTTATTGCCTTTGCACACATCAGCTGAGTTTCTATTTCAGTAGTAATTTTCAGGTAATAATATCCAGCCCATTCATTCCATAATAAGTTAGATTTGATCTGCAGTATTGCATAATTTGTCTGCAATTGTCAACTTAAACAGTTCCCTTAGAATTTGAAGTATCATATAAGGTACATCATTACAATAAAGGATTTCTGTTCCCTAGCCATTCCAGAAACTCAAGATTAATATTTTTCCAGTCCAAGAAGAGAATCAAATTCTTTCAGATACTTAATGTGAAAATGAAATAATTTGCTGTTTTGTATCCAAGCTAGTAATACGTGAATTATTGATCTTTATAGTCTCTTAGTCACTAGTTAAAACATTATATTCCACTCCCCAAAGGGAAAAATAGACTCTCATGTGTATCTGAAATATTTCTGTCTCAGTAGCTTTCAGGTTTCAGCCACATTTTCATTTCTCAGCTACATCAAATTAACTGGCACTCATGCAAAATATTCATTAGTGTATGTGAGATGGGACTGAATTATTAACTGTAACATATCTGCAACCGCACACTCACTTCCACTTACATGAAGAACATCTTATAAAACCCACGCTCTATAAAAAATGCCACTGCTCACCAGGAAGAATAACGGCAGACCTCTGTTTCTGCCACGTGAATTGCAAGAGGCGCTTCATTTCACAGCGTTACCTTTCAACGCGGCAGAAATGGCAATTTGTACCCAGAGATCGTAAACCCCGCGTGTTCTAAATCACTCGGCTCTAAACTCTAAACCACCAACTAGACTTGAGCTCATGTCTTTTTACCTTGGTCCTCTGCAGCGTCATAAGCCAACCCTCATCCTAAATCCCTCTGGCACTTCTTGCACTGACCTAGGACAGATTTAGGAGGTGCACCAGGGGATCCCTCCCCGTGCAGACGGCGATCCCCAGCAGGCACGAGGCAGTACTGGAGGATGATACAATCCTGTGCTAGCAGGACAATCCTCAAAGGCAGAAAGAGCTCTGATACATATCAGCTACCTTATTTTTTATGGTACTTGCCCCCAGGGCATTTCAGCCTCCCGGAGGTGTTGAAGCTGAGGCCAGCACCCTCTATCTCACCACCAGTAAAGTCCGTGACGCTGGAAAGTGCACAGAGTTAGAACAAGTGACGAGAAGTGGGAAGAGCTTACTGTGAGGAAAACCCAAGCCTTTCACTTCATTTCAAATGTGGTGAAGATTTTTTTTTCTCCTCCTCCCAGAATAACATTGTTATTTGGATACATTAAAAAGATCAGCGCTTTCCCCTCGGGAATGTGATGGCACTTTTTGGATTTATCTAGAACTGACTCAAAGGGAAGAGCCTTACGCAACCTGAGACTACAAAAGCCTCTGAATTTCAGATATTTAAAAACTCTATCTTAAAATGTGACTCATGCCTGGGTTATGCAAACAGTCAAAAGATACCTAACCCTGACTGAAATGGCAGGTTGCACTGGATTAGCTAAACTCAACCAGCATGGACCCATAAAGGTAACCACTGGATGCCCGGAGGGGAAGACTAATCCCACGGGAAAGTTTGGAATAAAACTAGCCCTGTTAAGCCTTGCAGAAGACTGCCTTTGTTTGGATTTTTTAATTCAACAGGCTTTTGCTTGCTGCTTGTGGTTTAAAGCTCTTCCAGGCAACAGAAGCCAGCCTCAGACGGCGTATGGCTACAACCTAATGACACGGAGTGCAAACATCACAGTGCCAAGTCTGTGGTTCTGATCCCACCAATTATAAAACATCTAAGCAAACTTGGATCTTGATCTCCTAGATGCGTAAATTATTTCAAGATCACAATGGATCAAACTCCACTGACAGTTTGAGCCTTTAAAAGTAAATCCCAATGCACTAAATAAATTTCCCTTATAACAGAAGACTGCCAGTGATCTCTACCCTTAACAGTTTTGTATGTCTCTTTTTCCTTGTGATTCATGTATTACGTTTCAATTTGCTTCTAACGCTTGATGACAACAAGAATGATTTAATAGGATTTTTTCTTGAAGGAGTACGGCGCGTGTACAGAGGAGGTACACCCGGACTCATGAGTCTGTAGGTGTGTGGCCATGAACTTTAATTCCACACCATGACATTAAAAATGATGGCGAGGTAGTTAAAGATGACTGCAACACAGCTCCTACTGTGCCAGTGAAATGCAAATCTTCTCTCATGTTGGACTGAAGATGTGCATCTTGGCAGCTAAATGTATGATAAAATTTACGTAGTGCTATTAGTGTGTCTCCACATAACAGCTGGAACATAAGGCAGTCGGAGCAATGCAATTGGTAGATCCTCTGTATTCTCTACAGCATCTTCGCATCTGTCCTGTCTATGCAGGCTGGATACTTGGCCGAAGGTTATTCTGCTTATTTTTCTTCTTTTTGTCTTTTTTTTAAATTTATACACTTTACAGCTTTGCTAAAGTATTTTTTAAACACTTTCTATTTCTTCTAAAAATGGAAACGATCTAGAATAAATAAAAACATCCTTATGCGTAAAGCATTTCAAACAAGATTAGAAATGTCTCTGTAGTTTTGCCAAAAGTACACTTGTTTTCATAGTTTACGAAACCCGGTATCTTAAAAGCAGCAGCCAGGCAGCTCTAGATGCTGTACAACGGTACTTGCAAAAGCAGTGCACTGTTCTTCCAAAACTACAATTTTCTTTTTAACACCATGAATTTACTGGAAAGCGCACATATTGCCAGAGTATCATATGCTGCAGCAATCTCAATAAACACCTGCTGTCCAGTTAGGCATTCTCCACATGCGAAAGATCAATGGCCATATGACATTTCCAAAATGTAGACACTTCAGTACTTGAATTTCTGCTTTGAACTAAAGATAAAGGATTTTTTAGCAAAACAGACACAGGGTAATAGTTCCTGTGCATTTTCTTTCAGGCGCTATTCTCTCTATATTTAAGGACTTCTAAATTGTGCCAATCCAAAAAAAATCAAAACAAGTCAATCAAATAAAACATTTCAAAGGATTTTAATTGCCCATTTGGAAAAGCCCCGAAACTTCAAGACACACAATGCAATCACCTTTATCTGACTTGCTTCTGTGTCTTGACTAACCCTCCTCAAAATATCTGGAAAAGGAAAATTTTTACTTACAAAAAAAAAGGGAAATCTCAGCATTTCAACAGACCTCTCACGGAAACTCTGAATAGAAACTCTTTCAAGAAACTCTGAACGCTGTTTCTTGATGTAGATGACAAGTGAGCAAAACTGAGTTAACATTTTTATTTTAATTTTAAGAATATCATTAATGTTAAAATGGATCATCTGTTATGCCTTGTCAGCTACTTCTTAAAATAACCAGGTCTGTTCAGGTTGTCTGAGAAGTCCCCCATTCCTGAAACTGATTGTTTTACAAAGGAGTGAGTTTGGGAGGATCCTCCCTGGTTACCAAAGCAGCTAGGAAGGATCAGCGGAATGCT